ATTACTCTTATGTCGAATTAAGAGAAATGATGATTAATATTCTAATATATATTCATTACTTATGAATTAGACGTTTTATTAGAGAAAGAAAGGAGACAAAAATATGGCAATAATTTATGTAAAAAGAACTTGAAAAAAATACAAAAAAAAAACAAAACAGCGATTTATTCAAACCCAGAAATCAAACAATAAAACACCTGCTTAAGATTACTGAATAATTCAAATCGTCGTATATTTGACTCGCATTTAAAACTGTGTGCAGATGTTTAGTTCACCAAGTTTTAAACATCATATTTATTCTTAACCTTATGAAGCGCCTATGTGACGTCATATTACAGAGGTTAGCATGTCAAGTAGTCTAGATTCTCGTTTTGATTGACAATAATATGATACACAGTAAACTACTATATTGGTAGTTTGGTAAAGAATACGGAAATGATGGAAATGATACGATGAAAAGAAAGTCCGTTAAAATAATTTGTTTACGATTAATGATTGACCTAATAGGTTTTCTATTGATTGATTAACAACAATGGTTTGGTGTTAAAGGAAGTAATCAAAGGGTCAACCTTATCATGTAATCATGAATTTTTAATATTCACTCTAAACCTCCATTCATACTGGAACCGAATTTTCGTATCGGAAGGCCTACCGAACCGATCAGAAAATTGAATCAGTGTGTGAGAATAGGGACGCTGGCGTTCAGCGCATCGGAAACGCGGTCTGAATTTCGGTTTTCGCATCCAATGTGAATGCAGTTTTACGTAAATATTATACATAAGAGAAATGATGATTAATATTTTAATATATATTTATTAATTACGAAATAAAAGTTTTATTATGGACAAAAGGGGAAAGAAAGGAGTGGAGAATAGGTCAATGTATTACATTGATCAGAAATTAAGCATGTTCAAAATAGAAGATACAAGATCGATTATATTGTCATTTCGTACAACACATATTCATGCATTACAGTAGTTTAAGATCTGTATTATTGTACCATCATTCATTTATAAAGTTATTTATTTTTATACTAAGTATCATTCATTTCAAACCTATTTATTTTATTATATTTAACTAATTACATATGAACTTCCGTTCATTTTGTATTTTTATTGCCAATTGGTCTGTGTTCTCATTATTTTAATCTTTTTTTTTTTTTTGTAGTTTTTTTTCTCTGTATGTTATCTTGTGGACGCCCCAATCTTTATTAAGTGCCACCGAAGGTGTATTTTCAAATAAATATTATTATTATCATTAATTCAATTAGTAGTACACGCGACTTATTCATAATGTGAATAATATTGCAATTATTATCACTGTTCAGCTGCCGTCATCATCACCAAAATATTACCGTAGTAGGCCTATGTGTTGTTAATACAGGATAAGAGATGTATATTGCTGTACACACTTTTCAATACAAAAAGTAAATTTTATCACATATATAATATATATTATATATACTTATATTTATTTTGTTCAATATTATATCTGTCTCTTATACACATCTAGATGTGTATAAGAGACAGATATTTGGTGGTTTTTTTATTTTTTTTGGTAAAGTTTTTATGCTTTTTAAAGCTCATACTTGCTTTGGATACAGTACCTTTTCCATTTATTGTTGTGAATGATATACTTTACTTATTTTACTATGTGTATTGTCATTTAATAATTCTTAAACAATAAAATCAAATAATAAATTTTAATTACTTAGATTAGTTATATATAAATCATTTATATCTTTTATTTATTTTTTGTTATCTAATTATTATTTACTTATATATGCACTTGCCCATATTAATGTGATATTAATATTTTTATGTTTTTAGCATTGCTGCGATATTTATAATGAATAACCACTATATGGTACATCTAACATTCAATATTAGAAACTCCAAATCCCACATTTGTCATCAACACTGAGCATTTCAATCGTAGATAGCGTCATCCTTTTAATGTTATTCGTCAGACATCGTCGATGTAATCCACTAATTACAAAGTCTTCAACCAAACGTACACGATATTTCTCAACAACATTATAAGGGACCTCAACCACTCCAATTTAATATCATCAGCGTGGATATAGCATAATAACTGTTAATAGGCCAATTATTGCCATTATTTTCATTCTATGTTGCGTTCAACGACAACCGTTTCAAAGCGTTTCACATATTCATTGTTATAAAAGTTAAAGTAACAATCATATAAAATGCACAACCCACGCCATGGAATGGGAGGGGGCGTCGGTCTACTTTCTTGCAACGCCTGGATGTTCAGCATGACCTCGTTGAAATTTTATAGCATTCGTATCCACCATGCACGCTCTGTAATTCAACTGACCCATAAACAGACATTTCCAAAATAGCGATCAAATTAATCGATCCCTGGATGGAGGGATATTAGCTTTATAGTTATGTCTATAGAGATTTGCCCAAGGCCTTGTCTAACGATTCGAACCAGTCCATTACGGTTGACAGTCGCACTGCTCCAATGCCTTTCAAACAGGTATAAGACATGATACAGTAATCTAATTAGCAACAAATAATGTAACGCTACAATGGTAAATAAGTTCGTTAATTCAATTTTGTAATGAATATGCTCACGATTTAGTCGTATATTAGTAAATTAATGTATCACCGTGTATAATAACAGAATATCGTAAGTTCACATTGATACTTAATGCATTTATGTCTAGTAACCACGTAAAACGTATATAGATATGGAAATACATGATTTACCCAGCAATTATCTGGGCCCATTTATTTTACATAAACGTTTTCGAATAATTCGAATAAATTAAGAGTATGTAAACCACTGGAGAGAAATACTAAACTGTATTTGATATCATTCGGTTTTTATTTCGAATTTCAGGTTGTCGACGCGGAGCATGATAGAATGATAAATATGCAAGGCAGAAGAAATAGCAAGCCATCAAACGCAGACACGACGGGCAATTAGTGTCCACATTCAAAAGGTAAGACATGAGTCGTTCGTTTGTCATGTCATATGGTCATCTTCTTAGCCATCAGACTAAAAAAGTCAAGATAATTATTCTTCTCGTGGCAGAATCTAAAACTGAATTAAGAGAAATTTGCAAGACTTTCCAATCTTAAGCTTTTTAGGAAATATATTAAAGACCTATTGTAAAATTGTCAATATCTTATGCTGTAAGGTTTGTTTAAAATATAATGTTTTATATTATGTCAAAAAATAAAACACTCCTCGCATGAGATTAGCGTAGCATAGAGAGATTAACTATTAAAACCTATAATCCGAATATTTCAATTGCGGCAACTGAGGCGGTAAAAAAAAAAACTTGGAACTTTTGCTTTAAACTACTTCACCCCTCGGACTCGACATTACAAGCAATCTCTCAGTGCGCTAAATTAAGCCATCCAATGACACTTCAAAATAACAATGAAACATTTGGCTTATATATTATAGGATTTACTAATTCAAGTAGATCTTTTAGTGGAATTGTTAGTACTGTATATGACTGGCCGGCCATATCATGGCAAATTGTGGTTTCGCTGTAGGATATGATAGACTTTTTCTGACCAAAGGGTTGTTGTTCAATCAATGTGGTATTCGCACCGTGTTAATGGCTAATTTCGCAATCAAACAGATAGACCTATATATTAAGATAATGATGTAGCATTTGAAGAACAAAATATCTAATAAAGCATTGTCTACTCAAATTTAATAAATTGTCGACTTGCGACTAAACATTCGAAGTTCAACAAATTAACGTTGTAGAGAGCAGCCCCAAATACTTGTTTAATGATTGTGTAGGCCTACTTCCCTATTATGAGATTATACGCTGGACACAGTGTGGAGTACTGAAGAAAAATACCACGTAAGAGAAGCAGCCCAGTTTGATAAAACAGAGTTGGTACCAGCTTTTCCCAACAGGTGGCTCATCGTTCCACGACAGATGGGCCTGAGTCCACACCCACCTCATCTCTACCATGGTTAATTTCCCCCGACAGGTTTTATCGAAGCCCTGGACAACGCTTGTGGCAACGCTGAGCGTTAAACCATGGATATACAAGGCTCCGTCATTTAAAAGAGACAGTAAGCTGCTGGACTCACGTGATCCAGACCCGCTTTAAAGAATAAAAGTCTGCCGGTGTCACAGAAAATTAGATTTTTTTCGGTGTGATTTAAACCCACAGAATTCAGAAGACCTTTTTTCTAATGGGGTGCTTTTCCATTGAGCTGATTGGGCAGTACACAGGGAGACAATCCCCATAATGTTTTCCGAAAAGTAGACCTATAGGCCTACTTTGTGCTTTAACGTGCATGGAATGTTGCATATGGAACCAACGGCTTAAACGTCTCATCCAAAAGACAGTGCACTTTTGAATTGTATATCAACCCTCCAGCTAAAGACAAAGGAGAACAGTAATATGCATGGATGCATTGGACTCATGGCTTAGGTCACAATGGCGCTGGTAATTTTGGTCTTTAGTTCGAATATCTAAGGACAATGTTCTCAATAATTAGGCCTAGACCTATTTGTTTCTAACATTTATACTATTTATCACCGATGATCTTTAAGTCTAACATCATTATTATTATTTACAAATTAATTTTGTATTATACTAAACCTTAAGAACAGAACTCGTGAGATTTTGTTGTTTTTAGGACATTACTGAAGAGGAAAACATTTTCATTAATATATGAACATCACATCACGTGATCAGATTTTTGTGAGCAATGTTTATGTAACATACTCTATGTGATAAATCATCGTGACGTCATGTATAACTTCTATTTAAAACAAAATGTGAATGATGTTGACGAAACTTCCTATTCGATTACATTGACAGCAGTACTGATTGATAGATGTGATTGATTGATTGGTTGATAAAGTTGTTTGATCGCTTTATTGGTTTGATTTGATTGACCGATTGATTGGGTTGACGTGATTAATGGATTGATCGATTTTTTTAAAAATAATTTAATAATTGTAAGTGTTAACGGGTTAATAGACTTACCCTAGCATATGAAGATGAGTTAGGTTTTTCCATTAAATCCCAAACTTTCCTTCTCTTTTTGGCAAAACATCCCGTGCCAAAATTCTCACGGTTTCTGTCCATTAAACTTTCATTCATTCGGTTCCTTTCGTTCAATATTTGCTCTTTCTTTTGAAAGTATTTGTGTTGACAGCAGTCCTCAAGGTACAATTCATCAATACCCCAGTATTCCAAGTCGTCCCCAAACGAAATCGGGCAAATATCTTCAATCATGTGTAGCTTACCAGTACGATAGAAATTTATAATGGCACTGAAAGTTACCGGGTGACGGTCAAAATAATATTCGTTGGACGATAATATATAATCATCGCATAATGCCATTATGGTCTCGTGGTTATTGCACTCCCTAAGACGGCCTAACCGAGAACGTGGTAGACGCCGTAGCGTGTGCCATAGCACCTCATGTTTAACCCCACCGACGTTAATGATCACACGTTTCGTCTGGGCCCGCTGTTGTACGATGCTGCTACAGTCAGGGTGCAGGCTAGTGTGTGAATGCGCGTTTTCCTTATGCATAGTAACGGCGTATATTCACGTTTCTTTGTGAAGATGTTTTTTGATCAGATTATTGTTAAATGCTCACGCTCTGTCATTAAGACTCCCTATCAAAAGAAACGCAACTGGAGAGAAAAAAACAAAACAAACATTAATAACATTGTCCATATTTATCAAGCCTTGCGCAATAAAATTACAGTAAGGAAAAGATGACCCATCTTTATCATTAGCTTTATGAATTTTAAGTTCAATCAATTTACTTATTTCGCTTGAAACATTACTGCCTATGTTCAGGTGTCAACTGCAATCGCCAATGCCGATATCCGCAGGTGGCTTATCGAAATAAAATTTCCCCCATCCAGTATGAATTAACAGCAACACTAGAATTTCTTCTCTACAGTGTAAACGTATCCAGTATTAGCCATTTCGCTCAATCAGACACGGCCACTCTTCTTTTCTACTATACGACTGCCAATGATATTCGCAGGCTCGCTGTTGTTTTATTGTGAGTCTATCATAATCATAATGTTATGCTGAGTAGATCGAGGCGATTGCGCGCTATCGTCGCTCGGCGTGTATTATAATGAGCATCTCATCTCATCCAGTGTTGATTCGGAGCCCAGCTTAATTCGTCAAAACAGTTGTAATACGGTACTTATCAAATAAAATATCGCTGGCTAACTGTAAAAAAAAAACATCAAAAGTTAATTTTCTCAGATGAACGTATGCCATCGCATTTCGCTAAAATGCACAACTGGCATTTTATGAATCATTGAACACTGGATAAATAATCTTGCGATCATTCAGTTTAGTCTGTGATATATGCTTAAAAAACGCACCAGGCAGTTTAAAATCGCTGTGCAATAAATAATAAAAAGGACTATACATCATCGTATATCTATGAACCACTCTGCTAAGCCCCACTTCTTTTTTTTATTTTGTTCACACACGCGCGCGTGTTTGTGGGACATGAGCATTTTTCTGGTCCTGTTCTCATTGAGCTTAAAAGTTTGATTGACACTCAGAAAAAGTAAGTTAATTACCTCCTGTTTTGTGATATACTGTTCGCCTTTCAATTCGAGACCACCTTTGAGACCTTAAGATTTGGGGTGGTCTCAAGGTTCGGTCTCCACATAGAGGGGTGGATTAATGTTAATAGAAAGATTGTTATTTGGTTTTTTGAAAAAAAGTGGTCTCGAATATGATACGTCTCGGAATTATAGGGGTCTCGAATTGGATAGTGCACTGTATTGCTAAAAATTTTCAAAATTAACGATATTACCGCTGTTAAAAAATTAGTATTTACATTGATATTATTGGTTAATACTTGTGGAATAGTCTTAAGCTACGATATACTATTGTTCCCGGTTGACCCATGTAAAAAATAAATACTGTAATCTACAGTACTTTACATAATTCTCATAACCTGGTATTTATTTGATTGACAACAGTGACCGCTTTAATCATTATATCACAATTTACCTAAATAGTACCATTTTTATTTACTTAAATTGTTGCTATTATAACAATATAATACATTTCAATAAACTTGGTACAGTAGGCCTATAATGTGTATTGACACTTGATAATAATACATGCCTATAGCCATATCTATATTTATTGGCAGGGTTACTATAATTGTAACGAAGTAATAAATTTTAATACACATTAAACAGTCATTAATTACACAACGGTCATATTGAAAATAGTTTAATCATCTGGTTCGTATGGGATGGCATAAAATATTGATATTGGATAACCAATTCTGTTCCTGACGAATTACCGTATATTTTGAAAATTTTAATATAGCGTAGTCAAACACATGGGCATACCATAATCCCGAACAGACTAACTTTACTTCTGAACTAGTAAAGGACTAAAGTTATCCTTGTAGCTTACTTAGTTCACTTTTTGAAATGTGAGGGATGAAAGCAAAAAAGTATCAAAATAAAATGTTGAATTTATCCTTTTAAATTGTTTATTTAGCAAACAAACTGTATCTTAAGTACTCTTATGTTTCATATGACGCTATCAGCAAAACCGCGCAATTTGACAATGAACTAAAAATAGCTTTGTACTCTCGATTTCCGATGTATTGCCATATCCACCCGTCTTCGCTTTGTACTACCCGTGTCAGCAATCGATCAGACACCGTGTGCCACTATGGACGTTTTTACAACCTAATATTAAATTAAAATCATGAGAGCTCGACTTCGGTAAAAAGAAGATATGCCGCTTTGTTAAACATATCAGTAATTATATCTGGCCTAAGAGAAACATGGAGGAAGAATCTATCTATCTATCCACTTTCTTCCTCCATGAGAGAAACAAACTATAGAAAGTCCCTAACGAACGCATGCTCAGTCTTTCAAATCTAATGGTTACTCTGCCATTTTATTTAGAAATGAGTATGGCTAACATAATGGATTTCTATAATCGGCTAGGGAAATTATGAAACAACTTACTATCACGTTGCTCTTCTTATATAGCATCTTATGAATAATTAATTAAGGATTATGTTTATGAAGTAAAAATTCACAAGAAACAAGGAACTATTAGGGACATTAAACGAATGATCGCAATGATATTTACCACAAAGACAGCTACTGTAGCAGGTTTGTGAAATGTTCCGTGTTTCTCAAGAAGTCCCAATTTTTATAGATTGAGACTGAAAATGGATTCCATTCAAAGTCTCCTAAAGAAAGGCGTAGTACAAAATTCTGCGCACAATTTATATATACTCATACATAAACTATACTAACTCTAAATATAACTTCTAGGATATTGGTATACATGAATCTTATGACCGGACATCGCTATAAGTGCCGTTGTATCTTTTAGTAAAAATAAAAAATAACAACCTACAGCCATAAATATCGGCGCTGGTTCGAACGACACGCTCGCCTGTGATTCTGGATGGTGGAACAAGTCTTCTAGGATAAGGACTATAAACCGTAGGCCCAGTGTAGTCCTACACAATTGGCTCAAGGTGCACTAAAGAATTCAGTACATCTTTCGAGACGAGTAGGGGGTTACCCTGGTGTACTGGTCCATACATCTCCTCTTACCCTGTGCTCACGGATCATTAGGTCATTTTGCAGGATGTACCTACGTAAACGTCAACGTAGCTTTTGAGCACACTGCTCTTCTTCAGGTGAAAGAAAAACACTGTGCGAAGATTGAGGCATCAGGAATGGAATGGAATAGAATACTCGAATGCTTCACATGAAGAATAGTGTTCTTGAAAGCTAGTGTCAAGTCAAGTAAAACTAGTCCTTAAGTACTCGATTTCCCTTCCAGTTTTTAATTCATGGTTAATTGCACTGGCGGCACAAACAATTTTAATACTTGGCCAATCCTCCTGTTGTTGCCAGGCCCCACCAATAATCTGCCAAAAGAAGTGTGAATATTGACAAAACAGACGGATGGATCACCGGTTGGCTATTGTTTATTTTGGTCGGAACCTATTGTAGGAGGTTACATTATAAAAAAATTCCAAATTAGTAAAAAACACAAAAAAAAAAAAAAAATCCCGGTAGGGCCTTCAGCCTTGAATGGACACCAACCGGGGGTCCATGCAATCCTCCTGGCTCTAGCCTCGGTTTCTCGCTCCCTTGCAAAGTGCTTACCCGTGCTTATTTTATATCCACGAAGTATGTCCAAATAGCTTTTAGATAGGTCTATTATACGCATTATAC